CTTTTTGACGGCTTCGCTGCAGGTCAGTTGTTTTCAGATAAGCACAGTGTCCATGTTTTTATCTCCTTTTGCTGTGATAGCAGCCTTTTCTTTTTCTTACTCAGGTATTGAAATCACCAACCACGCCACAGCCACGCTGGAGGGCAACCAGATCTTCAACAATCGCTTTGGGGGCTTGTTTCTGGCCTCAGGAGTCAATGTCACCATGAAAGGTACCCAAAGCTTAGCTCAGTCTGGACAAAGCAGTGCTGTCTGCTTTCTGATGTGCATCTCCTGATCATTGTCCATTTGTCTTCTGTCAGATAATAAGATTACAAATAACCAGGATGCCATTGAAAAAGCGGTGAGCAGAGGACAGTGTCTCTACAAGATCTCCAGCTACACCAGTTACCCCATGCATGACTTTTACAGGTAAACGGCATCAGATAAAGGGTTCAGAATAATACTGGTACATTTATGCTGAGCTGAAGTGGTAAGTCATTTGACACAAAATTAATCTGCAGCTATTTTGATAACTCATTTTTCAAAGCAAAAATTCCAGATGTTGTCTAGTTCCAGATTTGGTCTGTTTCCTTGTTTTATGTGACACTGAACTCGATGTGTGACTCTCTGGAATATTTTTGGCCTGTTGGTTGGACAGTAATTTTGTAGACACCAGTTTGTTTTAGTAAAGTGTGATGAGTACTTATTTTCCAAAATTTTGACCTTTTCCCAAAAGTATAAACTTGATTAATCTAGAAAATTATAGTCAGATTTATGATAGTTTCAAGTTGCAGCCCTATTTCAGAAAGTTAATTTAAGAAATGGTAATGTGTAAAAAAAAAAAATTAACTTGTAATGTTCAAAAACAGCTGTACTTCAGTTCACTCATGAATAAGGAGGAACTGACTCCCTTTTTAACATTTGTCCTTTTTTTTAGACTGTTTATACAAGTGAACATATTTTGTCTCTTGTCGCTGCAGATGTCACACCTGTAATACCACAGACCGGAACGCCATCTGTGTCAACTGCATCAAAAAATGCCACCAAGGGCACGATGTAGAGTTTATACGGCACGATCGGTAAGTCTTAGACCGGCTGGTCATAAGCACAATGGTCCACAGTGCGCTCAGTGGCACAGACTGAAAGAGTAGTATGTAAAGCACATAGCATATTGCATGAGACATGGCATTTTTTAAACTTAAAAAAAAAAAAAAAAAATCGGCCAAGACAATTGCATCTCTACTGTTAATGCTATGGTATGTGTTTTGTTATGTTTAAATAAAGAAAAGGGTGAACTGTCCAGTTTTTGAATCTGAAAAAGCTACTGCTCTGTAGCTTATCTATGTTATCTTGTAAGTTTGACATTTTTGTCACTCATTTCTTGGGTCTGATTCTTAATCCCTGGTGTCTACCTCAGGTTTTTCTGCGACTGCGGAGCAGGGACCTTGTCCAACCCATGCACGTTGGCCGGAGAGCCCACACATGACACGGACACTCTGTATGACTCGGCGCCGCCCATTGAGTCCAACACGCTGCAACACAACTGAAGGCATTCTGTCAAATTACACTCACACAAGTATACAAACATGTTACATTGCACACAGTTACACACACACACACACCCACACACACACCTTACATACACACACACACCCACTTGCAGCCATAAGGACCCAGAGAGACTCTGTGATTGCAGCGCTCTCAGATGGGATCGAGGTGAAAGAGGCTGCAGAGGAAGCAGCTTCCTGCTTGCTGCAGCAGAAGCAGACTCCACTAGAGGGAGCAGTGGAGCTGAGGGTGGAACGCCACAAGAGATTCCTCAATGGAGTGTTCTTATTGCAGTGGATAGACAAAGAGAAGATGGGAAGAGAAGGGCTAAGTAAGAGGGGCTGTCGATAGCGGCAGCGTTCATTCCT